TTGTCTAGATCATATTTTTAGCCCCCTAAGATCATACAATTATTTTTGAAAAGTCATGCATCATTAAAAAAAATCAAAAGCTTTTAAACGTTGAATATTCAGCTAAGGAAACAAAGAGCAAACATGCCTTAAATTGATTTTAGAGCACAAGGAAAGAGCAAGGATGAAATATCTAAAATGAAGTGTCAAAATGATAAGAAATCTTAAGGAAACAAAGCTCCAGTCGATCCTAGAAAAGCATCAATCAATCCTACGGCAGAATGGGCAAAAACGAACATGGAAACATGATTCAAGCTAGCCACAATCGATCATCTAAAAGAGGTAGTTGATCCTCAAGTAGTATTCACAAAAAACTCAAACTTTTGTGAAGCTATAGTCGATCTTCCTTAAGTGCTAGTCAATCCTTGACTGGAATAAAATGAAAAACCAAGCTGGAATGAGCTATAATAGATCTTGATCACATAACAGTCGACAAACAAATAGTAGCATCATGCAAAACTAAACTTCAAGGAGACTTAGTCAATCCTTAAGGCATGGTAGTCATACCTCAAGTCTAAAACTTCAAAGTTACACACTCTTTAAAGTTGGATCGAGTATAGGATGAATTTAGTCGACTATAAAAGCCCTAATTCGAGATTTTTGAAGAATATAGTTGATCTTAAGAGCGTGTAATTGATCCTCAAGCTTCAAGAACAAGCAAAATGGATTCAAACTTGTGTCTAATGGTGCCAAACATCCTTTGCACTATAAATGGACTTATTTGAATCATTTTGAAACAAGAGAAAATCGCCATTAAAGAGAAAAACCCTAAAGAGAGCCTCAAGCTTATTTTTCTTCTCTAGCTTTCATCTTAGTCTTCGAACAAGATTTGAAAGCAGAAAAGCTCACTGCTTTGAAAATCTTTGAAAAAAGTTTTCTGAGATCATTTCTCCTTTTCATACCAAAGCTTAAACTTGTAGCATTCAGTCTTTGTGAGGCAATACTTTGCTATACCTTTGTGTATACATATCTTTGTAAAGGTTCTAGCTTAACCTTGCAAAGCTACTTGTGGGTTTGTGGTTAAGCTTGTTAAAAACCATTGTTGAAAGGTTTCGCTTGATCTTGTGAAAAAGCTATTGTAAGGAATAGGGTTTTTCTTGATCACAGGAAATAGCTATTGTGAAGGTTTTGCTTGATCCCTTAAAAAGCTCATTTCCCTTAATGGATTTGAAATTCCTTAGTGTTTCAAAGGAGTGGATGTAAGCACTATAGAAAGCCAAACCATTATAAAAATCTTATGTCTTTCTTTTAATTGTTTTGCATTGTGATTTTTCACTTGCTTTTGCCTTAGAAAAATATTTTACCTTGATTCATTATTTATGCTTTGTTTTCACTTGACTTAGGAAAAATATTTTACCTTTTGTTTATCACTTGTTCTTTGCAATTTATTGTTGAAAACTTGCTTAAGAAAATCACATACTTGTTTTTGAATTCTTGGTTGCTAAAACTCTTGATTTTATACTTAGTTTTCAAAAGAATTTAAATATACCAATTCACCCTCTCTTGATATATTGTTCATTGAGACTTCTATACTAACAAATATTTTCTTTACTTGCCAAGTGTGGCCAATTCTTCTCCACAAGAATATTTGTCTTTAACTTCTCCAAGCTTTCCTTAAATTGACAAAAAAATTCTCACATTATCTCTCGAAATATCTTTTTGAATTTCCTCCTCATCATCTCTACCCTCAAGATGAAAGTCTTCAATATTCTTTTGATTTTCCTCCACCAAAACATCAAATCAATTTGGAGATCCTTCAACATTAATCCTTCCTAATTTGTTAGCTTTTGTCCTTAATCCTCTCCACCTTTGCTTCTTCACCAATTAGACCTCCCACTTCTACCTTGGCCATTACCATACCCTGTTTCAAAAGACAATTTTCCTTACAATGACCAACGATTCCACAGCCAAAGCTATTGGTCCCATTGGAGTGCTAGAAGGGGGCTAAATAGTACTTAAAAATTTTTAGTCAGTCCTTTAAAGCTTGTAAAGCTCTTAATCAACTAAATGATAGGAAGGTCTAAAGCTTGTTAGAATTATAAGACACCAAGTAAGGAAAGGTAAAGAGAAGTGGACAATGCAAGAGTATTTATAATGGTTTAGTTTACTTGACCTACATACACTACCTTGATCTCCCAATCAAAGATTTTTAGCCCAACTTCACTATACCAATGGAATTAACAACTTTCACCAAGCTTTTACAAGGTGATCCTATAACTCAAGCTTTATTCCCTTACAATAAGCTTTAAAGTGCTTCTCACACTCTAATTTTCTAAGAAAAAGAAGAAAAAAAAGTACTACTAAGAGTTTTTACAAATCTAGAAAGATTACAAGCAAGCTTAAACACTTTTTCTAATATAAGAATGAAGAACAAGTGTTTTTGGTGAAGAATATTTAGCTTTTTGCTCAAAATGGCTCTTTTTTAATTCAAAACTATCTCTTTGACAGTTGAAGCTTCCTTTTATGCTTGAGGAGTCAGATTTTTATGTTGGTGACAGTTTCTAACCATTGGAGACAACTCTAATGTCATTCTAGCTATTTTTTTGTCGTCTAGAGCTTAAATTCAAATAGATAGACAAAGTTCGACTAACTGGTTATAGATAGCTCTAACCGATTACAGCTTCTCTGCCTTGGACTGTCTCACTACTATGTGCTCTGCGTTAACCGATTACAGGAGATTTTAACTGACTAAGAAGTCTCTGTCTTCAAGCTTCTCTACTTCAGCAAACTTCTTTTATTTGGTTAACTCTTCCTTTAACTGATTAAGCATTCACTTCCTTTACCCTTAACTGATTAACAGAAGCTCTAATCAATTATAAAATTTTTGAATTTGAATTTTCTTTTTTTGGCTCCCTTCAATGGTCAGAATTATTTTAAATTCGAATTTTGGCACTTTGAGGTTCTTCAAATCTTGTGCTCTAGCCGATTAACCTCATGCCTTAATCGATTAGCACACCTCTGTTTTGCGTTGTCTAGCACCTCCTTAATCAATTAAGTCTCATGCTAACTGATTAAGATTTTTCTAGTTTGCTTCAACTTATAGCCCAACCATTCCTTAACTGATTAAGGCTTTTGCTAATTAGTTACGAAACCCTTATCTTCACTAACACTTTTCATCTTTCCCACTTTCATTGATTAACCTATCTATTATATGACCTTGTTTTTAATTATTCATTTTATTGAGGGAATTAACTTAATTCTGTATACTTAAATAATGAAGTTAGACATTAATGAATGAAGAATGTTTAGTAATTATCAAAAACATATGGAGTCAACGAAAGCAAACTATGTGGATGGCTTCATATTCAACAACTTGAATAATTTCTCCAATTTTAACCTTGGAAACCAAGGGTTTACAGAGATCAACTTCAACACAAATTCTAGCAAATTTACCTTGGATTGCCAAGCTGGTATCTGCATCGAGCTTTAAAGGTTTTCCAATAAGCTTGCCAATAATCATCAACAAATCCTCACTAAAATTTTCAATAGGGAGTTCCGGGCGTCTAATCCAAACGGTCGTTGTCCCAGCAGTAGTAGTAAACAACCTAAAGTTCGGTTTCCATCGTTACACTATCAAGTAGTGGTCTAAAATTTTCCAAGGTCTTTTTGTGAGCACTTCGATCATATAATTTTTTTCCTCAAAACTTGACAATATAATAGCCAAGTCCCAAGTCGATAAATTCTGTATCTCCTTCAAGGCACCAGAGTTTAGAAACTTTATATTGAAGAAAAGAGAAACTGAAAGATTTCCCCTTAGTTTAATAATAAGAGAAGAACACCACGGTCGTGGTAGCATATTCTTCCGGTCTCATCTATATATGTACATGAGGGATAGACTCCATCGGATCATCATCAAACCACTCATCATCGACATTAAAAATGATTTTCTCAATATTCCCCATAGCCACAGCATCATCTATGTCTTTCTTCCCGTACAGCAGAGTCTATTTGAAAGACTTTGCAGGAGGATCCTGGCTTGTTACATGCTTACCACCATCATTGATCACTTTAATCTTCTTAGTGCTTGTCTCCAGGTGATCCACTTCCTTTTGTACACGGAGGCTTCTCCAGAGCTTGAACGAGAGCCATTCATACTAATTTGTGCTCATATGCCTTTAACGTACCCAAAGAACCACGTATCCTTTCATTTGTATTCAAAAAGTCTTTATATTCTTTTAGTGTATCCACATAAGTCCTTAACTCATAACGAAAATTTCAAATCAAACTCAAAAGATTGAGATCAAGGGCGACTAATGATATCTTAAGAGAAGCTGCAGCTAAAACTAAAGGATTTTCTGGAAGGGAAATAACCAAACTGTTCAAGCAGCTGTATCTGAGAGTGAGAACTGTGTGCTTGATCCAAGCCTCTTTCATGAAGTGGTAGATTATAAGGTTGCAAAACATCAACAGAGAAGAAAACTGGCTACTGCAGATGGAGATCGTGTTGGATTAATGTTTTATTCCATGCAGAATTTTAATTAATTGCCAAAAATTGGCTAACTGTTAGTTTTTAACTGATTTTTAAACTCATTTTTTTAAGCTTACAGCGTAATGTTGTCATTATTTCTAATGGGACTGGGAAAGTAGGGAGGGTCTCAACACATCCATTATGAGGGGAAGTTATTTATAAGTGTTTTTCTTTTAAAAAAAATTACAATAAAAAATTAACGATAGTCGACTGGTGTTTTCTATTATTTATATAACATATAACGTGATTTGATTACATGATCACATATCAATTGAGGTGATTTCTTTTTTTATTTATCTCTTTCACACTAATCACATGGCATTTGATATAGTCATCTCAACTGTCGCATGAGCGCGTCATCATGTCATATGAATAAAAAAATATCAATCGATATTAAGTTTGATGATCGTGAATTAAGAGTTTTTGTATGTATAATAATAAAAATAGAAATTTTTGAGATATAAATAAAAAAGTAAAGACTTGTTTCGGTATAATAAAAATACAAGAACTCAGTTGCATAAACTGAATTAATTCAGGACCTTTGTACAAGCCAAGTTAATACTAGGATTTTCACAAATAACATGTAAAATTCATACATCTTTCAAATGGAAAAGACTTGGAACGGCATCCTTTAAACGGCCAAGTGTGAGGTGAATACCTCCCATTAATTAAAGCTCGCCCGGAGAGAAAAGGGGAAGATGAAAGGTGCAGAGATTTCGATGAAACCCAGCAACACTAGCCAAAGCCAATCCCAGCGCAAGACTGAAAAGCCCCCCTTCAGACCTGCAGAAGACGACACCAAGCCTCCTCTTCAAGACCCAGTAACCACTCCTCTCTCTCTCTCTCTCTCTGTGCATCAAAATTAATCGAATTTGAGCTCTTCTGTTTTTAATGATATATGGTTTTATTGGTGGCAGATACTGAGATCAGACCCCAATGAGACAGAGGAAGCAGTGCTGCGATTGCCTCCTCTTCCTTCACTCAAATGAACCCATCAAACTCAGATTCACCGCTGTTTTTCTTTCTCCCTTCTGTTGGGTTTGTTCGGTGTCCATGGATTTTGGCTTGCTACCTTAATGGACTGTAAAAGTTTCTCTCTTCTTCCCCCACCCCCTGCCCCCTTTTATTTTTTTTTGTTTAATTTTAAAGGTTTGGGTTGAAATTGCTTGACTTGGTAGCTCTGCTGGTGCTAAAACAGAGAGTGTAATGGCAGCAGCAGCGTTCATAGATGCAAGGGATTTATGTTTCAATCTTCCAATTTAGGGTGAAGGTAACAATTTGCAGTGTTAATTATATCAGTGTAAAGGGAGATTTTTATTTGCAATTTTTTTTTAACTATAATCTGGAAATATTTATTCAATTACAACAAAAAATTATGTATAAGAATCACTATCTATAAGTATAAATTTCATCTGATATTTTGATAGATTCTATACGATTTATCATTCTGATTAACTAATTTATGACTCAAAAAAATTAACTAATTATGATGCAATAATTGTAGAACATATGCTCTCCAAATTGTATGGATGAAAGCGTTCGATATTTGGTTATTTTGTGATAATAGGATAAGATAGTAGTGAAATTATCATTATAATATTACTTTAATATTTAATTAATAAGAATAAATTTAAAATAATCTAAAAAATAAATGATAAAATATATTTTATTATAATTTAGTGTCTATTTTTGTCAAAAGATAAAAATATCTTTTATTATAACTTAATATTATTTATACTATAAACAAAATGATCTTTTATTATAATTTAATAATATTTTATCAAAATAAAAAATGGTATTTTTTATAATTTAATAATAATTTAAATTTATCTTTTGTCAAATTGTTTGAATTGAATGATTTAAATGACTTAAATTATTTGGATTCAACTTATTTCAAATTTAAATTATTAATTTTAAAAAAAATCAATTTAAATTCAAATTTAGGCATCAAAAACAATTTGACAACTCGAGTGAATTCGAGTTTCATTTTATATTTAATTTTACTTAATATTATAAAAATATTTATATTTTAATATAAATATCACAATCTCATATTAATAAAAAATAAAATAAATTATGAATATATAAACATAAATATTTCACTAACTATCAAATATATTTTTTGAGGTAAAATATTTTTATTTTTTAAAATTTTGATCAAATTATACAAAAATTTTTTAATTTTTGAAATAAATATTCTATCTCAATAAAATATTTTTTATTAGACATGTAAGTTTAACTGTTGATAGTATTTTCATCAACTTATTAATGTAATAAAGATAAAAGAATAACTTTATCTTTAATTAAATTTTATAAATTATTATTATATTTTTGATTAATTAAACAAAAGGGAAGCATCGGAGAGCCTCGATAGAGCTCCTCAAAGGAACACTAATGCTCCCTTAAATAACCCCAAATCAGGCTTTCCAGCGGTGCACCAATGCTCCCCTTTCTTGGTGAGTCAAAAAACACCGATAAATGCTTTTTATTTTTTTTATTTTTTTAAGTATAATAATAAAATTTTTAATTAATAAAAAAATATTATAATCTTTTCATAATTTTCATTAATGATGTTTTAAACTTAAAACGAAACATTTATTTTAAAAATTAATAAATTTTTATATAATTTAAATTAAAACTTCAAAAAGTAAAAATATTTTATTCTATCTTTTAAATTCAAAACATACATTCATAATTTATAAACTAATTGAAACTTTATTTTCAAAATTAAAGATCACACGAAATTAAACTTAAATTTCAACTCACTCACGAGAACAAAAGCCTTCCGAAATAATTTATTTCTTAAATCATATTCAAAATCAAATATGACTGCTAACCGAAGAGAAAGAATATAATGCAACTAAACCTTTTAAATATACTGTGAGTAACAAAATAAATGTTTTCCAAATCTTCAATGTGACGATTACTTCAACTATAATCCTAAGACAAGAATGATGGGTTTGTCAGATGATATACAAATTATGAATTGTCTTCAGATGATTCAGAAGAAATTCTTTCAATAATGTTTGGGAATTTCAGGGGAAGTTTCATTAGTGGCTCATCGCTTGGAACTCCTTGGTAAGCTAAACCCAACGCATAGCCTAATGCCCGAGCTACAGGCACAGCAACTGCATTCCCAACTTGAATGTACCTTAAAGATAATCCAGCCAACATTGTAATCGAATAATAATTAAATATTATAACCAATTATATGTTTATTGATAACACAGTAGAAGAAGTACCTTTCCTTAACGGGGCCAAAAAGCTTATAGTAATCAGGGAAGCCTTGTAGTCTTGCATTCTCACGAACCGAGAGGACACGGTCTTGTTCAGGGTGTAAAATCGCCTGTAAACAAACACAGCAACATTTAGCCACTCCAGAAATGGTTTCTTGGGTAAATGTGATTTTAACACAATAAATATATATATATATATATATACTGCATAAAATCATAACCTGATTATGAGGCTCTGCCCTGGTAACCACTGTTGGTACAGTTTCATCCCACCATAGACGAGCAAAGGGTCTATACACAAATTCATCATGGGTCAAGTCATCAAGTCAAATACATCATCAAGCAACAAATACATGACAAACAAAAAAACCACTCACTTGGACGATGATCCCCCAATAAAACTCATGGCATAATCAGGGACCTGTCATTGTTTATGATAATATTATCAAGTACAACACAAGAGATAATGTAGAATATCAACATAAATTAAAACGGAAGAGTGCGCTCTCTACCAAAGGTTTCCCAGACTTCAAATAAACCCTCTCCACATTGGGGTCCCATTCCACCTTGTTATCATCACGTACTAGAACACCTGGTAAGTCTCTGAAATTTGCTCCCTAATCAACACACACACACAGAATGAAACAGGAAAAGGAATGGAATTCAGCAAGTGAAGATGCAGCCAAGGGCATACCTAATATTCATAAAAATAAAAAATAAAAAAGCAAAAACAAAAGGTTATATGACTGATTAGATTAAGATGGAAATGCGATACCTTCTTTTTGGGAATCTGGCAAACACGCTGATAGTCATCGACATTGAGTTCGAGCGGCCGATGATCGTAGAGCAAATGTTTTGCTGGTTTTGCCTTTGGCGAAGAACCGGGCATCTCTACAAGACATAAAGAAATATGCTCGTAGTTTGTCCAACCAGTTTCATGAAGTTGAAACATGCAGGTCATGATGAAACAACACAAGATTTTTTTTGCATAACCAAGTAACACCATCGTACAAAAAGAAAAGGAAAGCCAATTTTTATCCAAAAAAATTGGTTGCAAAGTTCTGAAGAATTATCGTTTATAAGTTGCTGACAAGAGTAGTAGAACCATTAGCATATATATCTTCTCCTTGCTAACCAAGAGTAAAAGAAGCAATGTACATTCAAACTACAAAACACAAATGATACTGATCCAAATATGGCTTTGAATATGGAATTCAAAACATATAAATAAGTATGTAACTTCCTACCCTCCTTTCTTAATCTAATGAACCGCTGAAACTCTGTTTGAGGATCCTTGTCATAGTCCATTTCATCTTGATGCTCATAATTTCCAACCTAAATGCATAATGAACTCAAATACATGTATCATAAGTAAAAAGATAAATGAACTAGCAAATCAGAAAAAAAAATCAAGAAATCATAGGACATACGGCAGGAAGGTCAGCAATTGCATCTTCTAGTAGAAGTTTCGTTTCCAACTCCACTTTTTGTCCTTCATCATAGGCTACTGTGTTCATCTACATTCATAAAGTATTATACGAAAATGGAAGCTTTTCAAATTAAAAATAAATAAAAAGTTCTTGTACCTCAAATTCAAGGGGAATGACACCTCTTACTACAACATCATGTGTAGGAAGTGGATATTGTGGCAATTTCTGAAAACAGTGAACATCCAATTAAACCACAGCTTTAGCTTTTTCTATATTTACAGTGACTTAAATATATAAAACTCACTTCAGTAGGACGAGCCCCCCACAAGAAAACACGCATCCGAAATTGGGGAAGACCATAAGCACCAGCTGCCATCATTCCCATTCGAACTTGGTAGTTTAAATGAATTAGTTGACTCAAGGCATACCGTCCAAGAAATCCCTCAGCAAACTTTACAATGTCAACAACGTTCTCCATCAAAACAAACTTTGGCTTCAAGTACTCCACTATCTCCATGAAAACCTTAAGTTGTTTGTTCTTTTCATCTTGTAAAGGATTTTCCTTATTTCTAAACCTATTAAACCCACTGATGCCTTGGCATGGGGGCCCCCCACAAATCACATCGACATCACCCTATAGGACCAGCAGGAAAATATACAAGAGACTAAGAATTTGTGATAGCAACAAAAGCAAGGCAAAATTGTTCTGACTTCAGAAAATACTCTGCATTTGTTTTTTCACAATGCTGACATTAAAGCTTTAGACCATGGTACTGCAACAATGTTGTATTAACGAAATATTGGCGCTTGTATGCTACAGTTAATTAGAAGAAACAGATTTGGTAGAGTATTCCAGCTATTTTTCAACTACAGCCTAAAGAATTCGGATAGAGAAATAACAGTCCATTCAGGGAAAATGAAAGGACTGGAGTTCAATTTGTGAGCCAATTATTGAATATGTGCATTTAACAAAGTTTATCTATGTTACATTGACTTCTCACTTTACATTAGCATACCTGGGCCTGATTTTCTTGAACAGTTTAAATTAATGCAGGTAAGACACTTGGGTCCTCAAAATTAATGTAAGAACCTAGTTAGAAACCACATCCAGAGTCCATAAGTAGGAATCCGTAGGGAAACTATTAGAATGCAAAGAATGACTGGTTTAGAAAAAGGTGCATCCGGTACCAACTTGGTTATATCTTGAGTGACACTATATAGAAGATATGAAATAGTAGATTCTCATGCATATACGTACTTTTTGAGATTACGCTCTCTTTCTTCCTTAGGTTTTACATGGTTGTGTGGTCTAGTTGTTTGGGTTTCTTGGATATTGTGCACTATTTTTCATTCTTGAAAAAACCGAATTATTAATGGAAAAAGTTATTAGAAGAAAAAAAAAAGTTAAAAGGTAAGATTTCTATTGTAGATTCAAGTGCGCTAGAGCCTTCAATTGTTAGCTGAAAGTTTGACATGCATTTCAATTACAATTCTATAACATACAAATGAGATAACTCTCCAAACATTATTTCAGTATAAGTTAAATAATGAATTATTGGTGGATGTGTTAAGTGAGTATTAGAACTGAAGGTAGGTGCTGCTCTTCTTTTTGGTACTGCTAGTGAACCAAATAGTGTGTTATTCCATGAGTTAAATTCCATGAAAATGAGATTGAAACTTGCCAAATACTAAGCACCTGGTCATAGCTATATGTATAGGAAAGATCCTCAACAGAAAGTGGTTCGAGGTAGTATAATTTTCCAGAGGATTATGTTCAATTCCTAGAGATTAGTTGGTTGTAGGAGAAAGCAAGGGACAATACTACAGGTAAATTCCTTTTTATGAAATTCATTCAAGAAAAAAGTAGCATAGCAAAAGCTAAAAGATGCTTACAGGTAAGGGTAGTATTTTTGAGTTAAAGCCATGTGTAACGAAGTCCTTCAAGCATTCTCGACAATCACTGTAAAAAGAGATTACATGTTAGAGACAGATTTGCATTTGAGGATGAAATACAAACATAAATATTGACTACATACTCCATTCCCTCTAGTGGCTCCCACGTATCTTCTTCCGGCCCATAGTTCTTCCAACGAACCTAGAATAAGGAATAGAAGAAGTCAAGGTGGAGTATGCCAAAGTATATAGACCCAAATAATGTCTATACAAAACATAAAGCTAACTACAATCAGTGAGAGCTTAAACAGATAAATTTTTTACAATCTCGACGTAGATTGTATTAAAGGTAAGCATAGCTATAATGCTCATATACCTGAAAATGTAATCCACGTTCCCCCTTCTTCTTGGGATCACCATAACATAAAGCTAGAATCTTTTCAACTTCAAACACATCACCTTCAGTATCATCTTCTTCATTGTCATCATCATCACCATCATCTTCCATACCAAACGGATTGAAGGATTGTTTCTCCAAATTTTCAGATTTCAACAACGAAAATAAAACACACAATCTTTCCCACTCTTTCAACAATGCTAAAAAATCTTCAGCAGATTCATTCCTAACCTGAAATACCATGTGATTTCATCAAAAAATTTCTTACATAATACATTTAACAACAAAAATGAAAAAACAAATTATAGACAAATTTTACCTCTGTTTCTGGATGATTCCATTTGAGACTTTCACAGGCATATTTGTTTAAATCCACGGCCCATCTCTAGAAACATTCAATTAAAATTCAAGAAATCATTAAATATAGGTAAACATGTATGAACTACTTAAAAATGCATAATTATTTGAATTGTACTAAGTAACTCACAGTCTCAAGTTTTAACCCAGCCATATTTGCTCCAAGACATAAACCAGTTGACATTGCACCACAACCCGAATACAAGTCCAACAATGTTACTTGTGATTTTTTATTGTTTGAAGCCTGAGAGGCTTCCTCATACTGACTTTTTTCTTCGTTAACACTATTTATGTCATCACTAGAAATTGTTGATGAAGCTTCACTGCAATTTGTTTTATCTTCTATGATTTAGAAAGAAAAAAAAAACATTAGAAGTTGAAACAAATAATTAATTTTCTAATGTTCATATACATAAGCTCAATAGACAAGGATAGGGCAATCAAGGGGAAAACTACCTGGGGATAAATTAATAAAAGAAGAATATGGCAAAAGATACAGCATGTCGCAATAATAATCACAACATGGAATCATTTTCTTCTTTGCCTCCAAATCAACCTAAAAGGCAAACATACATTAGTAGGAAGAAGCCGAAAATATATGAGAAAGAACCAAAGCAAAAATACAAGACAAGATAACATACATTCAATGAAACTTTTGCAATTATAAGCTTTTCAACAAGACAATCCAATGGATTGTCATCCTGAATCTCTGAAAAAAATACACGCTTCTTATCAATAAGGTGGCCTAACTTTTTCATTACCTGGGAAAGAAAAGGCAAATCAAATGTAATGCTAAATTAAAGGTTAGAAAACAATAGAAATCGTATAAAAAATGCTTCTTACAGTGTCTCGAGCTCTGTAGAACCATTGAGCTGTAAAATACAAGGTCCCATCAACTGCCTCAAACATTTCTACAATCTTACAAATATAATAATCCTGCCCTTCTTCAGCCTATACATGTATAAACATGGAAATAAGGTTAAATTAATTACCCTACTCTTAAGAACTAACTTGGTAAGCACATTTATAAAAATTATTTATGAAGTTCACATAGTCCAACAAAAACAACACATTCCCAACAAAAACAACAGATTCAAAGCTTGATGAAACAATTAAAACTTTCTGCATGTATAGAAAAGCATAGTCTTAGCTCAAGTCCCAAATTACTCTTTTTACTAGCCCATTTGATAACAAAATTGATTAATCGATGATATCTACCAACAAATCCATACAGTTTTGACTCAAGTTCCTAACCATTTACTTTCTGTTAGTTAAAGAAGGTGCATTTCATAGTCACACCTGTACCAAAAAAAGAAACAAGAGAGAGAATCCATGAAAAGTAAGACAAATGCCAAAAATTCTAAACATGCGATGCCTAGGACGGACTGATTCTCATCTACAATCTAGTACAAGTAGTGTCAAAAAAAAAAAGTTGAGTGAAGAATTAATAAATTCTTTTAACACTTCACATATTTATCTTGTTCTACTTATAACCTGTAGGGTTAATTGTAATTTCTAATATTTAGTAAGATAGTGCATTAAACCAGCTTGAAATTCTTTTCCTGAAAGAAGAATGTGGCAAAGTGAATTGCTGAGTTATGAAATTAGCCTAACCAAAAACAGCAATGATTATCATATAAAAAAAATCCAATCAACCAGTAAATTTTGATTATTTCAGTTCAGCTACATGATTTAACAAGAGAAAAAAGTCAATTATTTTCAATTCCAAAAAAATCCAACAGCAAAATACAGACTCAAACAATTTAAATATCCATTCAAAATCTTCACCGAAACTAATGATTACTTCATACCGTTACTTTTTGAGGGCAGATGAAGCGTTATTTTTGTTCTAATGATAAATAAGTGAATTTTCCATCAAATCTTAAGAGGCTGCAATTTTTTTTTTCAAAATAAATAAATACCACACCATATCCCATTCCAAAACATATTAGCAAGACATGATATTTTTGCACTTTGATGCCTAATATAACCTAAACAACAGTCAAATAAAGAAATGAAAACAACTTGACAAGATTAGTTAACAATGCAATGAATAAAAATAGAGTGAAAGAAGACATATGAATCAATTCAACAAATGCACAAGACCAACATGACTGGTCATTCCAAAATGGTAGATGCATCAAAAAATGGCAATAACAAGTATATACTGACTTTGACATGAGCATCAGCATAAAGATTATACAGCACACGTCCATCAACCTCCGCTTGAGTGTAGTGCCGTCGAGCTTGAATAATCTCTGAATCATTCTCACTGTGCCAAATAAATTGAGAAAACCAGGGTTACATTTGATAATGCTTCATTTTGTGTTTTATGTCTTGAAAACTACAAGGAAAGTTAGTTTGGTGCATCTTTTTCTCTTCAAGCAACCAAAACACAATACAAAATTTCTAAAATTGTTGAAAGGGATAAATTCTTGGGCATTCATATTTCACAAAAAAAATAATAATAACAGTAACAGTGTCCTCGCTGTTCAATATTCATTCGGTAGAAGCCTATTCACCCATAAAAAGCCTAAATGATTCTATTTCACACTTATGCAGTGTTAAACTCAGACCTCTAACCCCTTAACACCATTCCCACCACATAGTCATTGCCTCCACCATCTCTTTAGAGCCTAAGTTTTGCACCCACACTTCATTAACCAAAACATGTTCCATGCTGCTATTAATTGGAAACGATTCAAAAATAAAACTTTTAGAAAAGAATAGCAAACGACCCTTAAATGAGTTATATAATAGATGCAATGTAAATAAACAAAAGAAAATTGGCTTATAGATTGATGTATTTTACTTACTCTTTGGAATTCTTTGAAACAACTTGTTTTTGCTCCTGAACATAGAGAGAATTGAAATTCAAGTCAGAATGCAAACAAATAAATAAACAAAAGCATTCAGAAGGAAATATACTACATAACCTACCTTCTCTACTAATAAATTCAAAACGGATAGAAATATTTAAAAGATTCTACTTTTCCCAAAAAAGAAATGAAAGAAGCAATTGTTTATTGTTTGTTTATATATTACCACCCCTTCGTAGCGTTTTGGCCAGCGCCGTCTTGCCTCCTCGTCAGGGACCGGCTCGCCGATAAACCTGGCATCCTGCTCCTCTTTCCCATTACCGTGCACAGCTCGTCTGGTCACTTTCAACTTTGACGGCGTCTTCTGGCAGCCGCTCCCATCGCCGCCAAGGACCCCAACGTCTTCACTTTCCGATTTGAACGGCGAAGTTTTCGACCCCAGTTCTGGTCGGCTTCGTTTAGACTTGGAAGCTCCAGAGGCAGAGTTGTTTTTGCGCTTACCTCCACGAGAGACTTGAGTGCTCTCTTCTTCATGAGAGACTTGTGTGCTCTCCTCTCCACGAGAGACTTGAGTGCTCTCTTCTTCATGAGCGACATCGGTGACTTCCTCATATTTGGGCTTTGACATGGTCGTTTTATTTCTCTGGCTCGATCGAGTAGGTTTCCTAGATGAAGACGACGTTTTGGCCATGGCTAGGCGTTGGAGAGAGAGGAGAGCGGGAAGCTGAAACTCGGCGATGGGGCGACTATTTGCACGAGGAGCAAATTGATGCTGAGAAGGGAGGGGAGGGCGGGGGGATTTATTTTATTTAATTAATTAATTTCCAAAATGGAGAGGGAACGAAATTTTCGAATAACTGCGGTTAGGCGGGAAATTGAAACAGTGATTTCGGGAATCGTGGGTTGAAGTCGTTTTCCTTATTTTGACTTACTGCAATTGTTATTTTTAACTCACTCTAATTACATTTACTCATTACATGTTTCATTAAGAATATCAATATTTTGTGTTTCTCTACTATATATATAAGAAAAAAATAATAATTAAAATTCTTTATCATATTTTATTTGAACAGATGCCGATGTCGATAAATCTTGTGCGGAGTTATCTCCACCGCCTCAGGATTAAATGCTACTCAACACGTATGGAGCTTATCAAATTTCATGCCATCAATTCACTAGGAGGAGGCAACGATAGAATTAACTTTTGTTGAGAAGCTAAAGATAAAAAATAATAAGAATTATAAATTTTTTAAATTAATATATTGAACTTAATGAATAATCAAGAGTTTATAATATATAATAATTTTATATAACATTTAAATTAAAAAGAACCATAAAAAACGATTTACAATAATCTCTTAAAAAGGTTGTGCTTAATGATGATTCCTCTTATTCATAAGTTAAAGCATTGAAATTTATTGGCTCAAGTATAAGAAAATTATTTAAACAATTTGAATATTTTCTTTCAAAGAATTTATCAATTTGTTTTCAACTTACTTATATTTTAATTAAATTTTAAAAAATTAATACAATCAATATCCAATATTTTTATTTTATTTCTATTTAAACTTAAAATACTAAATACAAAACTATAATTTAAAAAAATATAAATGGTTAAATACCATATACATGATTAATAATTTTCTCTTACATAATCAAGACTGTTTAAAGACTAAATACTCAACTTAATTTCCTCTTATACACTCAAGATAATTTCTTTTTAACTAAATATAAAATGTAAAGCATACAAAAAAGATATACTCAAGATAATGTCATCTTATATAACCAAGATTAATAAAAAAATGATATGAAATTTTAAGCAACAATCAATGGTGCAACACTACAACTTATATTTAAGAATTACATAATAAGTTTTTAATTTTGAAAAACTAAAATCATGAAGAATAAAATTCACATAATAAAAAAACATGATAAGTAGAAAATAGATATCACAGAACAAAATAGAAAGAAGAAGAACATGTTTGGAGAAATTTAGAGAAGAAAATCCATAAAAACTTAAAACATAGGAACAAATAGAATAGAAATGACAAAATAAATAAATATAAATAATAATATAAATAAAAAGAAGAATATAAAATAAAACTTTACATCCTCTTAATTTCATACAATGGTGGTGAACGGTCCCATCATTCTTTGTCCACGCTGAAAACCACTCCACGTGTTTTTTATGATAACAATACATTTTCATTTATTGATGCCTAATTACTTTATTTAAGTGTGTAGGATAAAGTTTAAAACCCTTAATATATTTATCTTTTGAAAGCAAGTTAAGAATCTTGCTTAATTACAAAATGAGCTAATCAGTTAAAGAAGCAAAGAAGAAAAGACTTAGTGAAAACAGAATGTTGTTAACTGATTAGCTTAAAGCCTTAACTAATTGAGGCAAAGCTAGGTGCTATACAAAAGCAAGATAGTATAGCTTTAATCAATTAGCACAAGGCTTAACTGATTAAGAAAATGCTTGAAGCTAAAAACAAAAGCATGCTAATTGGTTAAGGAATTAGGATAATCAGTTAAAGCATAAGACTTTAGTACCTTTAAGCGTCAAAATCCAAAGTTGAAAGAAGGTTGACTGTTGAAGAGTGCCAAAATGGAGAAGTTCAAAATTTAAAGATTTTCTAATTAATTAATTTAATTAGTTAAGGTTGAAAGAAGTGAAGCCGGGAAGAGCTAACCAATTAAAAGAAAACTGTTATGTATAGGGAAATGAAAACAAAAAGTTTGTAATTGGTTACAGTTTCCTCTAATTGATTAATATAATTTACAAAGTTCTAAGATAGTGCAAGGCAGAAAAGCTATAATTAGTTAAACTTGCTTGTAACTAGTTAACAGAACACTGTTTGCTTATTTGAAAAAAACCGTTAGAAGACAAAATAATAATTAGTAACGGTTAAAATTGTCTCTCACAATTAGAATAAGTTTCTTAAGTATTTAAAGGCTCTTTTACAGTCAAAAATTATATAGAGAAGCTACCAAGAACGATTTTGAGCTAAAAATATCCAAAAACTTTCTCTGAACACTTGTGTTCCACTCCTATCTTTGTGAAAATATGTGTGCTGAGACTTGTATAACTTAGATTAGCAAGGTGATCATTTGTACCTCCTTTTATCGTCTATTTCTTGTTTACTTAGAGTGTACGAGACACTTTAAAGGGTAGTTTAAGTTACAATAAGCTTAGGACTTATTGTAAAAGGGTTGGAGCTTGGATTAGAAGTTTACTTTGTAAAAGCTTGGTGGAAGTTGTTAATTCCACTAGTTTTAGTGAAGTTGGGTTGAAAATCCTTGATTGAGAAGATCAAGGTGATGGATGTAGGTCAAGTGGACCGAACCATTATAAATATTGTGTTTTGTCAACTTCTATTAACCTCTCTTTACTTAGTGTTTGCTAACCTCTACAAGTTTTCGAACCATCCATCTTAAATCTTCCAAACGAATTTTAAATTTCAAGTGTTACCCTCAAAAATATTTTTAAATGCTATTCACTTCCCTTTTAACACTCTTTTTGGAAGCAACAAGTGATATCTAAGCCTAACCCTTTAATTTAAGGCTTAATATTATTAGAGGAGATCCAATGGCTACGTAAAACACAAATGTGGCCTCAAGACAATCCACAAATAAGCCTCCTCTATTTGATGAATCTCTGAAGTTAGAACTAGAGAGCAAAAATAAGGCCTTGTAAAAAGCATTAGATGAGAATGTTGCTTTTAAAGCTTCAATGGAAAAGAGCTCAAAACTGAAGCTGAACAATGAAAAACAGCCTAAAATAAATGCTGTTTTTAGAAGAAAAATGTTGTATCTTCATTTCATTGTTATGTTTGTGTCAAAAGAGGCCATATCTTTTATGGCTGTTATCATAAGGCTAATAACCTCTCCAAAACCAAGATGGTTTTTGTGCTTAAAGGTTCTTATGTGCTTACTAACCTTCAAGGACCCATCAAAGATTGGGTACCTTTGGAAAAAGAAATAAAAAATTGTTTTGTAAGTTGAATAAGAGCAAAAGGAATAATGTTTGAAAGTTCAACCAAAGGAGAGGTAGCCTAAGGACTTTGATAGTGGCTGCTCAAGGCACATAAACAAAAATAAAGATTTGTTTGTCAAGCTTGATAGAAAGAAAAATAGTAGCATTTCTTTTGGTGATGACTCCAAAAGTATTATCTAACAAATTGAAACCATTGGTAACACTTTTCAAACTCAAATCAAACATGTTTTATTGGTTAATTGTCTAAAGTATAATTTGTTAAGGATTAGTCAACTTTGTGACAAAAGATTTATAGTTTGCTTTGATTCCCATGGATATCAAGTAATTGATATTGACACTAACAAAGTTGCATTCATTGGCTTAAAAGTTGAGAACATGTATGTGATTTATCTTGATAAAGTTGAATTTCATAATGAATCTTGTCTTATTGCCAATGATGTTTGTGATAGTTGATTGTGGCATAGAAGGTTAGGAAATGCAAGCATGCACAATATTTAAAACTTTTAAGAAAGGACTTAGTCATTGGACTTCCAAAGATCATTTTTTAAAATGAAAAAGTTTGTGATGCATGTCATTTTGGGAAACAAGTAAAAAGTTCTTTTAAATCAAAGAATGTAACTTCAACTTCCAGACCACTTGAACTATTACACATGGACTTGTTTAGACTTGTTAAAGTCACTAGTTTAGGAGGCAAGTCATATGGCTATTGATTGATGATTATTCTAGATATACTTGGGTATACCTTCTTGTTCACAAAGCTTATGCATTACCTACTCTTGTTAAATATTGTAAGAAAGTGCATTTCTAAATCGTTTTATTCAAGAAGAAGTATATGTTGAGCAACCCCCTAGTTTGGAAGATTTTGAAAAGATTGATTATATTGATAAATTGCATAAAGCATTACATGCATTAAAACAAGTTTCTAGAGCTTGCTAAGGAAGGCTTTCAAAATTTTTTATTGAAAAAGGATTTCTAGGGGGAGTATAGATATTACTATCTTTATTAAGAAAAGTAAAAGTGATTTACTTCTTGTTCAAATATATGTGGATGATATAGTCTTCAATGCTAATAATGAAAAATTTTATGAGTATTTTGCTAAGAAAATGCAAGGTAAGTTTGAAATGATTATGATGGGAGAATTAAATTTTTTCCTTAATCTACAAATCAAGCAAAATACACTCAGGAAATACTGAAAGAGTTTGGTGTGATGAATATAAAGTCAATTAAAACACCAATGCATTCTTCTACAAAGCTTGATAGAAATGAAAAAGGAAAAAGATTTGGACCAAAAGTTCTATAAAGGTATTATGGTTCACTTCTTTATTTAACAGCAACTAGACTTAGTATACTGTTTAATGTTGGCTTATGTGCAAGATTTCAATCATGTTGTTAAAGTTGAATACATTCAGTAGGTAATTGTACACAAATCTTATGGATTAGGCAACAATTGAATGACTTTGGTATGTTCATGCATAATGTTCCTATGTTTTGTGGCAATACAAATGTTATTAACATATCACAAAATCATATTCAAAATTTCAAAACTAAGCGCATTGAGATTAGACATCATTTCGTTAGAGGTCACGTGCTTAAGGGGGATGTTAAAATTGAATTTGTGGATAGCTTACATCAATTAATTGATATCTTCACCAAACCATTAAGTGAGAACCAATTTTGTAGAATTAGAAGAA